AACTTAGGCTTAACAACCTAATTATTAGACTCAACAGGAAGCGGACGGTCATGGGGTTCGCGGAGGAGTTGAACCAACTACCAGCTAAACACGGAGAGATCTCAATAATTTATTTTCCCAATTGAAGATAACTGAACTAATCCAGGCAGACCACTTAAATGGTTACTCAACCGTATTTCTTCTAAGATAAGGAACAAATCAAGACTTGGGGATTCAAGCAAAAAACACTAACACAATAAATGGTAGGACTGATACCGCAATAAAATAAGTTACATTCATTGCTCTTAAACTTTTGAGTTTTATCTCTTTTTTTTTCTTGAAATCCAAACAAATTTAAAAGAATAAATTATTTTCTGCAAAAGAACGATAAAAAAGGATTATTTGTGATAAAATATTTCTAGAATTCAAAGCGGATGATAAATTACTTACATTCTGAAAGCCCACTGGGAACTGTTTAAAGCTCTGCTAGGGTTTGGCTTTCTTGGTGATTCTACTTTCCTCTTCCCGCGCCGCCAGTTTGGGGAGGATTCTTCCCTCCCCCGCCGCTAGAGATGGCCACCTCTTCCTCTTAACTTCATGATTTCCCCCTCCCTGGAGCTTCATCTCCTTCCCTTGCTCCCCTTACAAACCTTAACTTCATCTCTAACCTCACCAACAAAGATCCTATAGCTAATGAGTTCACTCTCAAGTTTGTCCCAAATCCTACGAAGGTTCCTTTCTCTGCCGCTGAACTGGAGCATGGTGTTCCAGATTGGCATTTGTCGCTGGTCGGTTACTCTGTTGGCCCGATACCAACATATCTGAGCTTGCAAAATATCGTCAACAGACTGTGGCAGCCCAAAGGTTCAGTTGAGCTTCTTTCTCTCAACGATGGCTTTTTCTGTTTAAGTTCTTCAATTCCCTTGGGAGGATTTGAAGTCGGCCTGGTCGGGGGGGGCCTTGGTTCTTCTTTGGGAGACCCTTCATTTTACAGAAGTGGACTCCCAAATTCAAGCCGAAAAGGGAAGATTTTACATCCATTCCACTTTGGATTAAAATCGTGGACTTTCCCTTGGCGGTTTGGAATCCTGAGGGCATCTCGAAAATTGCCAGCTTCATTAGACACCCTTTGGCGGTTGACGCTTTAACGGCAAGAAAAACAAGATTAACCTATGCCAAGGTCTGTGTCATGGTTACCAACTCCTCTACTCTTCCAGATGAAATTCCCATCTCCATGGATGGTGATGACTTTTCTCTTAAGGTTATCTATGATTGGAAACATGTTCCTTGTACTGGTTGTGGTTCCTTGGTTCATCCATCCTCTCTTTGTCAAAAACCCTCCGCCTAAACCTATTACTATTCCCAACTCCCGGGGTAGGAGCACTAGCCGTGCTAGACCTCCCAGACTGCCACCTCCCACTAAGGCTCCGGCAATCTTGCCTAAACCTGATGCTCCTCTTAATGTTAACCTTCCTTCTTCCCAACCGGACTCTCAAGTTGGCCCTATCCAACCACCTCTTTCTCTGCCTTCGCCTTTACCTTTGACTGATCCATTACCTCCTTCTACTACTCTACCCATAAATTCTCTTCCTCTATCACATTTATCTCCACCAAAAGATCCAATACCAAACTTAAATTCTTCTTCTGAAGATTTCTCTTCTTCAGACATCCCTTCTTCCTCTGCTTTACCGTTGCCTGTCTCCAACCCTTCCAAAATTAGACCTGTGTTTCCCCCTTCCCCTAAGTCTTCTCAGAATTTGGACTCTACTATTTCCACCATTACATGGCAACCTAAACAGATCAACTCCTCCTTGTCTCCCAATAAATTTGCTATCCTTGAACCCGAAGAACCTCCTGACATAGCTGTGCACTACTCTCCCAAATCCTCTTCTAATGTGGTAGAGTCTAAGCTTGATGATCCTCCTGGAAAATCCACCAACTACAAAGTTAACACCTCAAAGTCTACCAGAGCCAAAAATTCCAAAAAATCGCAACCTTTTAAGTCAAAATGAACCTACCTAAAATTTATTGCTGGAACGTCCGTGGTTTCTCTAGCTCGGATAGAGTTCTGGCTGTCAAACGCCTGATTGTTGCTCAACAAATTGACTTCCTTTGTATCCTGGAAGCCAAGATTAATCCCTCTCATCTCGCGGATCCCTGGTTTATTAATTCACATATGGTGTTCCCCAATGAAAACAGTTGCAACAACTTTGATCACTCATTTCCTGGTCGGATATGGATTAAGTGGAACCCTGCTGTGGTCACTTTTATCCCATCTTTTTCTTCTTCTCAGTTAATACATGGTTGTATTCATTATGGTGCTTCGAAAAAGTTCTTAGTTTCTGTGGTCTATGCGGCAAATTCCTTGGAGGATAGGAAATTACTTTGGCAGGACCTGTCTTCTATTGCTGTCAATATTACTTCCCCTTGGGTCATAATGGGGGACTTTAACTGTTATAAAGATTCCAATGATAAGTCGGGTGGCTCCCCCACTCACTTTAGTCATTTTGGTGAATTGAATGGATGGTATTCTTCCTCTGGCACTTTTGAATTTGCTTCTACCGGACTCCATTACACTTGGTTTAACAAACGTGCAAATGACCCTGTCCATGTTAAACTTGATAGAATGATTGTGAATCAACTCTGGTTGGATTGTTATCCTAAGTCCTTTTACAAGGTTGAAGCACCTGGTTGCTCGGACCATTCACCACTTTTGCTTTTTCTGGGTCTGTTATTCCCAATTTTGGTAGGTTCCAATTCAAGGATTATTGGACTAATATGGATGGTTATTGGGAGAATGTTATTGCGGCTTTTTCTGTACATTTTGGGGGGAGTCCGATTTGTAACTTATATGGGAAACTGAAAGACTTGAAAATTTTGCTTAAGAAAAGGAGTTGGGCTGATTCCTCCTTTATCATGAATAAAATAAGTGCTACTGAGAAAAGGCAATCCCATTTGCTTTACCTGATTTCTGGTAATCCACTTGATTCCAATTTGAATGACAATCTTAAAGTAACTAATTAAGAACTTCATAATTTGAATGTTGCTTGGTCTTCGTGGATTATTCAAAGGGCCAAGGCTAAATGGCTCTCCAATGGGGAGGATGATTTGGGGTTTTTGTATGCTCGTATCAAATCTAGAGGCAATCACAATCTCATTTCTGAACTTTCAACTTCTGAAGGAACTTTCTCCTCCCATTAGGACATTGCAAATGCTGCGGTTTCTTACTTTAAGAAAATTTATAATACTCCCGTTCCTAGTTGCCCGAATATTTCTAGTTTTCCTCCTGGGAGTGTCATTCCCTCCCATTTGATTCAACCTCTCATTGCCCCGATCACCAATGATGAGATCAAATCTGTTGTCTTCTCGGGGCCTAATTCCTCCTCTCCGGGTCCGGATGGGTTTAGTTTTACTTTCTATAAAAGGTCTTGGGAGGTGATTGGCTTCTATGTTTGCAATGCTGTTAAACATTTCTTTTCTTCAGGCCAGCTGCCCTCTGCCGCCAAAGCCACGGGTATTGTTTTAATCCCAAAACACTCACATGCTTCTAACATCTCTGATTACCGTCCGATTTCTCTTTGTAATGTTCTCTATAAGATCATTGCGAAGATTTTGGCAATTAGACTTAAAGAGGTGCTGCCTTTCATCATTCATAAAAGCCAAGCTGGCTTCATCTCCAAAAGAATTTCTTCGGATAACATTGTGCTGGCCGCTGACATTTTGAGGACCTTTAATGTTGAACGGGTTAACAAGTTCCTCTGTGCTAAATTAGATATTAAAAAAGCCTTTGATATTGTTTCCCGTGAGTTTCTTTTGCAAAGGCTTGCCATAAAGGGGTTCCCTGAACAGTTTATTACCTGGATTAAGGGGTGTATTATGGATGTTCCTTTTTCTGTCATTATTAATGGAACTTTGGAGGGTTTCTTTAAATCTTCCTCGGGTCTCCGTCAAGATTGTCCCTTATCACCCCTTCTTTTTACTGTGGTTATGGATGCATTTTCCTCCGCTCTGGAGGAAGGCAGTTTCAAAGGCATTTCTTGTGGCTCTATGAATTTCAGCCATCTACTTTATGCTGATGATGTATTGGTGTTTGGGGAAGCTTCCTTACAAAATGCCATGGATCTTAAAGACACTCTCAATAATTTTGCTGCCTCTACTGGGCTTTACATCAATGATAATAAAAGTTCTATCCTCTTCTCCTCTAATACCACTGCTGCCCATGACATTTCCAACCTGCTTGGTTTCTCCCTTGCTGATCATTCCATCAGCTATTTGGGTATTCCCATTCCCATTAAAAAATATTACTTTGACTCACTTCCAACCACTACTGAGTAAACTTTCTACTCTACTTGCTGGTTGGAAAGTTAAGTTTTTGTCTTTTGCAGGTAGAATCCAATATTTGAAGTTTACTATTGCAAATACTATCACTTATTGGATAAGAGGAGCTATTTTACCCAAATGCTGCTGCAAAGTCATTGACAAGTTATGCTCTAAGTTTCTATATCACGGCACTTCCTTTGGGAAGAAACTCCACTTAATTTCTTGGAAAAAAACTTGTCTACCTACGGAGATGGGTGGGCTGGGAATACCTGACATTCATTCTCTTTCTTTTGGTTACAGCTGCTCCTTCATTTGGAGATTTTATTCCTCTAATTCCCTACCTGGTGATTGGTTTAGACTGAGAAACTCTTCCCCTTTGAAACCCCCAACTGCTAAAGCTTCTAAATTTTGGACTTTCACCTGCAAGACTGCTACTAGACTCAAGCAGAATTTAAAATTTGTGGTTACCCGTTATAACTGTATCATGGACTCTATCTGGGACCCCTGGATTAATGGTGTGGCCGGATATGAACTTATGCATTCTACTGTTTCTGGATATTCTGCTGTTAAAAATTTGATTGTGGACGGGTTTTGGGATCTGTTTGGTTACACTCTTTCGGGTATCTCTCACATTATCTCCTCTATTCCCATTTTGGACAATCATTTGGATTGTGTGGAATGGACCGGAGTTGGTAAACTGTGCTTTAAAACTTTCAGGAAGCTTTTTTACTCTGCTGTTGAGAAGGTTAACTGGTCTATTTTCATTTGGCACAAGAGGTCTGCTCTTAAGTACTCTTCTTATGGTTGGCTTGCTGTTTGTGATGGTGTATCAACTGCTGATAATTTGAGAAAGCGGAACATTTTTATTAACAGCACTTGCCATCTTTGTGGAAAGGTGGATGAATCTATTTTGCACATGTTTTTACCTGTGATTTCTCTTTTGGGGTTTTATCTGCTCTTCTCCCCTCTTTTGGCGGCTTCTTTTTTAGGCCTTCTTTACTTCAAAGTTTTAAATTTTTTGAAGATATACAACATTTTGATAGGCAAGAAAAGAAATTTTGTTTTTTGGTCATTTGCTGCTCTGTCTACTATCTTTGGCGGGAAAGAAATGTTAGACGTTTTGAAGGGATTTCGGAAGACCATATCACCATCTGTAACAAGATCTCTCATGCGCTTAAGGTCAAAACGAAATGCTGGAAATTTTTGGATAAGCTGCAATTCAAGTTCCCACAATGCTTCTTTTAGCATCAACGTTTACATACTGATGGATTTCAAGGGCAATGATGATTGGGACCGGCTCCTAACCCCTCCGCCCCTGGACGGCCAGGGCTCTTTTGTCCCTTCTTTGGCAATTGGTTGGGCACTTACTGCAAGTGCTATTACTTCGATTTTGTTTGCTTTGGCAACCGTGGCATGTCCGGTTCTGCTGCTTATGGGGGCTCTGAGTTATTCTATCTACATGCAGTTTTGTTATTGGGATCGGTCTCATTTTTCCTGAGCCCGTTTTTGGGGGTCCTCAGTAATCCCTGTTTCTGTTTTCGGCTGGGTTTTGTTATTTTTCTGTTTATGATATAATTTTGGGTTTACAGGTTTTCTTTTAACTTTGTAACCATTTCTTCATTTTAATATATGGGCTCTGCCCCAATTTTTTCAAACCCAAAAAAAAAAAAAGGCTAAATGACAAGCGACCATTTGAGCCTTTCTAGCTTAACTTTAGTAACGTGTCATGTTGACAAACTTGTCTAGTGCATTTTAGTTCATTATACTAGCACATGCGACAAAAGCATGGAACATCTGGAACAAAGATTCTGCCTGAATCCCACTGATTTCCTGAAGGATCAACGTTTTTATCGATTTTTATTTTTTTAATTGAATATTCTAAAAAAAAATTATTATTCAAGCAACGAATCTCGAGCAAAATCAAACCGGAAACTTCAAATAATTAAAATCAAGAGCATTCGAACCCGATTCAGCAGCTTATAGTCGAACTGAGCGTCTCGGAAATACAACCCAACGAACAAATTCAACCCAATCCGAGCCAAAATGGATCCAAATCAAGGATCCCAAAGCGCTGTTGGAAGGTTCAAACCCAATTTGAGGTTACTAAACGGTCTCCGATTTTAACGAGCTTATACTTGAATCGAAGGGCTCGACGAGGCGAAAATCCAATGAGACAAGATCGCCAATTCCACTTCATAAAGCCTCCAGAATGTCCGACGAACGGTGGCACGATCGAAGGTTCAATATCGGCGTCCATCGACCACTCCTACTTCGCCCATATCTCCACACCTATTTTACAAGCATGCCACTCGCAGAAAAATTAAAATAAAGCCCTCATTCTCACAAAGGACTCAAGTTTAAGAAGAAGAGAAGAAGGAAGAAAGAAGAGAAAGGAGAAATGAGAATCCTCTCCTCCTTGTACCACCGCCGGACTCTTCTCCCGCCTGAATACCCAAACTCTGCTGATTTCAGAAACGACGGGATATGCCAAAAGCTTTGAAATTTCTCAAGTTATAATCTGATCGTCCCATTTGTGGGACGAATCAAGTTTTTGTAATTTTACAAAAGAACTAGTGGAACTTTTCAGCTGGGCTACGGGTACCCCATGATTTCTCTCTCGGGTTTTCCACGTAAAAATATGTGTTCATTTCTTTTTCGTTGATGTTGCTGAATATTCGTTCAACGCTCGGACGTGATTTGTAAATCAACGCCGCGATGATCTAGCCCCAACATTAAAATATATCAAAATTCTTATGAAAATTGAGTTAAGTATTTATTTAGATAGTTTTTTAACTGTTTATTTTATATAATAAATAAATTTTGACTATCATTTTCTCATTATTTTTCAAAAAATTTTATGAAGAAAAGCTGTACGCTCTATAATAATTAATAGATTTTTTTTTCACAGCAACTTCACAACCAACTCTATAAGACCAATACAGTTTTCCCAAACAACTCAAAAAGAAAAAATTATGCTATGTAGAGACCGGATGGAGAACGACAATCCGGAGGACCAATCAAAATGGTCAAGTTACTGAGTAAAAGGGTGACATGATGCATTCTGTTGGTCTCCGACCGTATTCGCGTCGCACAAAATAAATTTTTTTGGAAGGTGAGAAAAAAATACTTTTGAAAGAGATAAATTTTAGTTTGGAGGCGAGATTATTTCAAAAACTTATGTAAAACATACAAAAATTAGAGTATTATTCAATATATTAGAAAATAAATTACTAATATTCTATAAGTATAATTTATATTAGATTTAATTTAATAAAATTATAGATAATCCTCTAAGAAGAAAGATTGCATTTCAATCTATTTAGAGAGAAGAGAGAGAGAGAGAGAGAGAGAGAGAATAATGTATAATAAAACCTTTTTTTATTTCTATAATATGTGGGGGAAGAGACAAAGATTTTCCCACATTTAATTATTTTTTTCTCTTTATAAATAGAAATAGAAGTTGTGAATCTAATTTTTAGTTAAAAAATATTAAGTCTGAATGGAAGATAAGTAATTTTATAATTTAATGATAAAATGTTATTTGATCGCACATGCAAGGTTACATTGGCTCATATGATTTGTAATTGTGATGATAAAAAATATGTCAAAATATCTAAAATTTTGTTTTAAATTTCATCCAAATGATCTAAAATTATTTAATCTTATTTAAGATTATAATGTATAGAATAATTACTGAATCGATCCTAATTTTTTGAATGACCAAAATAATATTTTAGGACTATATAAAGATTAAAAGTACTAATTTCATATGATCTGAAAATGGATCAATTAGTCATTTTTGAAATCATTAGGATTATTTTAAAAACCAAATGACTAAAATTAAAATTTTTAAATGTAGTAGAAACTATTTAATTTGATCTTCTTAAAAGTTTCAAGGATCATTTTTGATCATTATCCCAATTTCCAATAATTTCAAATATATTCACATGATGATATATAATTATTTGGGTTTCTCTTTACAAATAAAAATATGACAAATTGTAAAGATGGTTAAGGCTTCGTTGGAATAGCTTTTTAATGGCTTTCTTTTTTTTGACTAGTAACTACAATTTTGATCGACCACTATTTTTCACCTGCATTCAAAGAAAATTTTTATATCTGTTAGAAAATTGCGTTGTACTAATTTTCAAAAAAAGTATTTATTCTAATAGCTTCACAATTACTTTTACAAATATTGCGAATACATTGAATACTACTCACATTGGTCTGTTGTTAAGAGCATTGTTACAAAAATTTTTTTTCGATTTGATATTGTTATTGTGATGTGCTTGAATTTACTTTTAATTAGCTTATAAGACTGTTGCGATGACTTTCTTACTGTTTTCAAAAATTAAGTTATATAAAATTAAAAATTTTTATATTAGAAAGTCTTGATTAAGAAGCGTAAGAAAACTATCCTAATGAAGCCAATGTCCCAAAAAAAAAGCTACATTAATAACTCTAAAAATTAACGGAGAACATAGAAATAACGAAATATTATAAATTCACGTGGGAAAAGATGAAATACTAAAATTTATAGAAACCTAATTATACAAAGAACAATAATTGTAAATTAGATTGAGATAATTTTAGATTTAAATATTATTAATGGATAAAACTTCACTTATTGCATTTAAAATATATTTTTGTTAATTTTTTTTAAAGCAGTCGGTTAAATAGTCGTTTTTTTTTTGGACATTTAGTCTTAAGGTCAAACTCACACACACAACGCATGACACTATGGACTCGAACTTGGAACCTCTTATGAACCTAAAGCTTCAACAATAGGCAGCGAGTTGGTAAATAAGTCGTTTAGCTACGTGCTGCTGTGATAAGCTTTCCTTTAATGCACGAGTACGCCATATGAATCGGTAACGCTACGTTAAGTTAGTTATTAAAAGTACAGCCTAAATTTGTCATTGAAGCTCAAAACTGAAACATTTACATTTCGTTGTGACAGTTAGGACCATAATGGATCCGCGGTCTTTTCTGTAATATCTAGATAGTTTAGGGCTGTTTGTTATTATATTTAATTAGGTTGAACTATTTAATTTAAACTTCAACATGTATGCAAAAGCTCGAATTTAAATATTGACTCTAATGGCTAGCGTTAGGACAACTTTCTTACTAATCTTAATAATTAAAATAGAATTTTTTTTTTTAATTTTGTGCCTAAAATGCATTTAAGAAATGCAAGAAAACCATCCCAAAGTGAAACCTAAATTTCTAATCAAACGCAGCCATTTTTGTGTTTTATTTGGTTGAGAGCTTTTGTATACTAGTCAAGAGCAAGGTGCGAAAACAGCTTATTTCAGGCTGGGCAAATTTTGCTTATGAAATATTATATATTATATTAATAAAAAAAAGAACATATTCAAAGCAAAAATAAATTATGATTATAAATTAAAATTATTACAAGCTTAAATAATCTTTTTGCATTTCTGATAATGCTGCATTATACTTCATTAGGAATTAAATCCAAATACATCATTTTCAATATAAGGCACCAGACATCGTTGAGCCAATCATCACCCCACCTACTCACGTAGTCGATGTTACAATCCTTCATTGCAGAAAATGCTCTTTCCACTGTAGCAAGTAGCATACTGTAAAGTCCATGCTAAAATAATGAGTCGGGGGGTTTTATAAACCAGCCGGATACACATCATCCTCTTTGAAACTTAACATATTGCTTGAAAGATCAGAGCAATATTGTGTAGAGAGGAGAACTCAGCACTGGTACGCATATCAATAATATAATTGATAATTGATTTTAAGAGCCACAAGATCAATGTAAAAATCATTTGGATTATAACTCAGCTACGTAATCAATTCCTCTCATCAATAGCTTGGAAGTATCAGTTGGATTTAAGGCAATGCACAGCAAAGAAGCAATTCAGTGCGTTAGTTCGGAAAGCGATTATTATCTCTTGAAGTTGCATGTCAACTACAGTATAGAAGCTCAACACGATAATGATGTAAGTGTGTTCTTTCTTCACCTCTTCGTACGTTCGACGACGTTTTGTAGTTCATTCATCTTCGAAACTGTAAACTTCAAAAAACATACAAAAATGAGAAACTTCATCTAAAGAACAAGTCCATCCACTTTCCCTAGTACCTGTAGTCGAGTTTAGAATATGTGCACCAATGTCATTGCATTTTCAATGTCCTGATCTTTTCTTTGTAGGATTGTGATAACTCATTCTAATTCCCAAGATAATCAATCATCAATGCGATTGTGAAATGAAATCAAATGACTCCATCACATCAATCAAAGTCCTGCTTCAACTGATTGTTGATCATTTACCCCTTCGCCTTTAATGATCCGGCACCTCGATTACTAAAGCATACATTCATAAGACTAATTAGAGTAATGAAATTAACTCCAATCGGTATCACTGGACCTTTGAAATAGCTCTTGATTTAAACCTCTGCCGCTTATTAAATGCCAGCTTAGATGTGATAAGAATTTTTTCAGGCTGAATTGCTTTCATAGTA